TTTGACCCTGTGGAGGGCAGAGGAGTTGCAGGCCCGTGAAAAGGGCCACTTCCCTTTTCTTTCCAGTTCTGCTAAGTGTGCGCTGGGTCCCTCAATGAGGCAGGCGCCCTAGAGAAGCTGGGGTGAAGGTTGGGCACTGCCTACCTTGGGGAGAAGGGCCAGAGCTTGACAGGCCTTACTAACAGGCAGGCGGCTCTGTGTTGGTGGTGTGCCCGCTGCCCCTGCCAGGGCCACTCTGGGCTCAGCCGGGACTCAGGCTGACCCCGCGGAGCACCGGGAAGTAAGCAGGAAAGCCCTTCACTGGGGTCTTGAGGGTGAAGACAAACCTCAATCTGCCTTTCTTACATGGTCCCTCTGCCCAGCTCTTGCCCTACGTTCACCCGGTGGGCGCCTCCTGAGCCCCCTACTCCTTCGCTGGAGGGCGGATCAGGCCTGTGTCCTGACTTTCTGGAACAGTGGCTCCACTAAGTGAAACGAGGTTTGCGATGCTAACGGGGAGGGAGTTCCTGATCCTCCTGCGTGCGGCCTGGAGTCCTCTCCTGGGGCAAGGCCGCTGGGCAGGTCTCCCAGCTCCTCCAGGTCCAGCTTCTCCCCGTCAGCTGCCGGGCAAGGTTGTTTCCCGTGAAAAAGGTCACTCCCGGGACGGGTGTTTCTCTGTGGGTGGAAGGTGCTGGCCTTCCCGGAGCCCCGTGCCTGTGGGGCAGAGGGACACCTGGCAGGCACACAGCAGCGCTGGCCGCAGCCTGGACCCGGGTGCCCGACTCGGGCCTCCCTCTGCCCACCCCAGCGCCGCTGTTCCCGCCTCCTACATAGAGCGCTTAGAAATTGGCATGTGGTTTTGAACTCAGAAAATTTTATTTATTTTTTCCAAAAAAAAATATTTTTTTACTCATTTTAAGGAGAAAGGGAGAGGGAGAAAGAGATAGAAGCCAGTGATGAGAGAGTCATGGGTCAGCTGCCTCCTGCACGCCCCCCCCCCCCCCCCCCCCAGTCATCCTGCCAGGGCCTCTGTCCGGGAGCGCTTTCCGTGTGGGCCTCTTCGGAACCTCGGGGTTCAGACAGTCAGACATGCTGTGTCTGGAGCCATAGACGCTCGTCCCAGGCAACGTCTTCAAGATGCTTGCCCCTCCCGCTGCCAGCGGGCTTTTCTCTCGCTGCCGTCGGCCGCCTCTCTTCTGGATCTGTCCTTCCCTGCCTCTCAGGGTGAGGCCTGGCAGCAGGCGAGGAGGGTGCTCTCCCTGTGGCTCAGCATGTGTGCCCTGGGAAAAGCCTCCTTCAGCCCCCGCCCCTCCCCCTGGAGGTGACAACCATGGGCTTTGGGCTGTCAGCACAGGGCATGAGTTATTTTATTTGTTTTTTATTTTTTAATCCTCACCCAAGGATATGCTTTGAGAGGGAAAGGGAGGGAGGGAGAGAGAGAGAGCAGTTGTCACCCATACGTGGGGACTGAACCCACAGCCTAGCTATGTGCCCTGACGGAGAATCGAGCCCACGACCTTCTGGTGTATGGGATGACGCTCCAGCCAGCTGAGCGGCGCGGCCAGGGCCGGGCATGAGTCATTTTAGTGAGTTATTCCAGGCTCCTGTTGTGATCAGGTGAGCAGGTTGAACATGCCCCAGCCAGGGTTGCTCCAGAGTTGCCTGCCCGGCCTCCACTCGGAGGGGGTTGGCGGGGCAGGCTCATCTGCAGGCGGCTCCTCTAACCCTTGGAACCTGAAGGTTTTCTGATTCCTTGGAGGCGGGGCCAGAACTAGCCATGGACCTGGACACACCATGCGCAGAGCCTTCCCCGCCGCCCCTCCCCCACACGCACCTGTTCTCTCACCTCACCACCTCCACAAGGGCAAGGGCAAGAGCGGCACCTGTAGGCAGCTGTGTGCCTCTGCGGCCACAACCTGCCAGCACAGCTTCCCCTCCGGTGGCCGCTGGGATGTGGGACCGGAGCCAGGCAGGCAGGTTCTCCCAGGCTTCCACCAGCTGAGCTCACCTGGAAAGAATCGCGGCTGTTCATAATAGCAGGCTGACTTGATATCTCTCCCCACCCCCCGAAGATCTACACTCAGTCAGGATGGTTTCCCATTGAGCTATTCCTTGTGGTGCCTATGATGACAGCTGCTTTAGGCATCTAGGACACAGATATTTGAGACGGTGTCTGGATTGGGGACCTGAAGTTTCTTGTAATCAGGACTCAAATATGTCCCCAAATATATGAATTCTTACTCTCCAATATGGCAGAGAATGGAGAGTAACTTAAACCCTAGCTGGTTTGCTCAGTGGATAGAGCGTCGGGTCCCAGGTTTGATTCCAGTCAAGGGCAGATGCCTGGGCTGCGGGCTCCATCCCCAGTGGGGGGCATGCAGGAGGCAGCTGATCCATGATTCTCTCTCATCATCGATGTTCCTTTCTCTCTCCCTCTCCCTCTCTGAATTCAATAAAAAGCTTTTTTAAAAGAGTCCCTTAAAGATGGAGGAGAGGGAATAAGAGAAAGCAAAGCCCTAAAGATACTGCTGCGCACTGAGAACGGCAGGCGTGCCCATCCTCTTGCCTGCGAGGTGTGTGACTAACGGTGAAGGCAGATACATGCGGCCCGGTGCTCCCGGGAGCATGGGAGAGCCTCGCCGGCCGGCCTCTGCCTCTGCCTCATGTGCTGTGTCCGTTGCTTGCAGAACTCTAAGAGTGCCCAGGGTCTGGCTGGCCTGCGCAACCTTGGGAACACGGTGAGTTCTCAGCCCACGTCTTTCCTGGGCCGGCCACCCCTGCCCTCCCGGCTGGGAGCCCCTGCCCACAGCAGGAGGTGCTGCGCCTCAGCCTCGCTGCTTCCCTGGGCCTTTCTCCCCCAGGACCGCTCCCGCTCCCGCCCACCTCTGTCCGGCACCCACACCCTTTTCTATACCCTCTGGGCAATCACCGGTGGCATCACCTGTGCCAACAGCGGGCATTTGCCTCACCTCCGCCCCTTTTACTCACTCACCAGGGGAGGAGCTGGAGGCTGAGGGAGGGTCGCTCTGGGGCGGGTGACGCTGAGGGCCTGGGGGGGGTGCGTGGGTGCCTCAGGGCCTCCCCTGACGTGCGTTTCCTGCAGTGCTTCATGAACGCCATCCTGCAGTGCCTGAGCAACACGCGCGAGCTGCGGGACTACTGCCTGCAGCGGCTCTACCTGCGGGACCTCGGCCACAGCAGCCACGCGCACACGGCCCTCATGGAAGGTGAGCCGTCCGCACAGCCCGCTCCCCCTGGACACCTTTCTGCTCCACTGTTGCTACACTAGGAGTTGTGTTTTCTTTCCTTTTTTTTGTTTTAATATATATTTGTATTGATTTGTATTTGTATTGATTTCAGAGAGGAAGGGAGAAGGAGAGGGAGAGAGAGAGAGAGAAAGAAACAGCAATGATGAGAGAGAATCGTGCATCGGCTGCCTCCTGCACGCCCCCACTGGGGATCAAGCCCACAATCCGGGCATGTGCCCTTGACCGGAATCAAACCTGGGACCCTTCAGTCCTCAGGCTGACGCTCTATCCACTGAGCCACACCAGCTTGGGCTATTAGTTGTGTTTCCTACGCACCTCTCCCGTTTCCCTCCCGGCCCCTCCTCCCTGGGACCCTGGTTTTAGAGCTGGTTCTAGAAAATGCCTCGCCCATCCTCCACCCTCCTCCTTCCCTCCTGACAGAGTTTGCCAAGCTCATCCAGGCCATATGGACTTCGCCTCTCAATGACGTGGTGAGCCCCTCAGAGTTCAAGACCCAGATCCAGAGATACGCCCCGCGCTTCGTGGGCTATAAGTAAGGGCCTTGCCAACACGTTTCCTCAC